TACTTTTGAGAAACTTTTCCTTTCAGAATTTTGGATTGAGGAATATAGTAGCTTTTACTCTATGGCTAGTTTGGCCTGCTGTTAGTATATATTCTATGTAGCTTATTCACTAAACATTTCTATGCTCAATACGTACTCTTTATTTTGACCATCAAAACTTGAATTCATCTCTCATTCTGTGTAAGCTCCAGAAACTCTTCACACCAGCACCATTCACTCTCTTGAAGTTTTACTGTTGCTATGCATGTCATACTGTTCACAAAAGAAACTGAAACCTACAGACTGATTTCTCAAGCTCTTTTATTTTTTCTGCACAGACTCCCTTCTGCTATTCTGTACATTATAAATTCTGGACATTTCAGTCTCCCCTAACTCAGGCAAATGCCTCATATCTAACGTATGGATTGTGACACTATCCTCTCAACTGCATCATCACCCTCCTCACTACCTGCACCTGGATTCCAAAAAGTGTTTCCAAGTAGAGAGCTCAGCTAATCATGGCACTTACCTCATTTGGTCTCTCTGTCTCAGGGAACACTCCTTTTGCTCTGCTTCAAATAAATATTGAAAACCCACTGTTTAATGCATTTTTCCAGTTTTGTAGTTTTCAGAGGAGGAAGTTCAGTTTTGGTTATTCTGCTAGGCCAGAAATAAAGGTTCTCAATATTTACTTATTTTAGTTTTAATTCTCTATTTTTCTTTTCTTAGTCTTCCCAAGAGAATAGTTGAATCTCAGAGTTGTAAGAGGCTTAAAAGTTGAAATATTGATATTTCTTACATGAGTCTCTTAGAAGTAATTACCCAGTGTCTGTGTGAACATTTCATGCAGTATGCATCTCACTACATCTCAATAGCCTATTACTTCTTTGATAGTTGTAATTGTTTAAAAATTCTTCCTTATGATTAGCTGAAATCTACCTGCACTTATTTCTGCACTTGATCTTATCCAAAAGGCCAAGAAGCATTCTGCACTTAATACTGTTTCCTGATCTTCCATCTTTGGATTCATTTACTGAGATTGCTTTAAACTTGCATAAGTTATAATTCAACTATAAATGTATCTTTTCTAAAAACAACAAAGCAATAATATCTAATTTTGTTATACTAAACTTTTCAATAAAATGATTTTTGTATCTGTTGTCATACTAGAGAAGGTATAATTAGTTCCAATATTAAAAATTAACAAATTAAAATCTTAAAATTGCAAGTTGAGTTGCTGAAGAATTGAAAGATAGTGAGCATCTGCCAATTTAATTCTTCATTGTTAATAATATCAATATCTAGTAGAACGCAGTAGAGAGGATGGTTGGTATCATATTGGCCATTCAGGCAGGACTAAGCACTGATTTAGTCATCATTAGGTAATCTACGTATTTGCAGATTTAATTCATTAGAAAATAGAAAAAGCAAAAATGAAGAAGTTAGGTAAATAGCAAATAAACTCTAATGATTTCAAAATAACAAATATTATATTATCCAGGATCAAAAGAGATAGTTTAGGTATAAATTTTCTGACTATGTTGGTGAAAAATAATTCAGGTGAAAAAACCTACTTACATATTAAATATTAATTGTTCAGTATTGTTCAACAATAATGCTTATTTTGTCACACATTTATTAAAAATATAAATATGCATACCATTGAAAGCTGAAGCTCTCATCAAAGATATGTAAGATGAGCTCTACTTTAGCCAGCGCTGTGGCTCATTAGGCTAATCCTCCGCCTTGAGGCACCGGCACACCAGGTTCTAGTTCCGGTCGGGGCGCCAGATTCTGTCCTGGTTGCCACTCTTCCAGGCCAGCTCTCTGCTTTGGCCAGGGAGTGCAGTGGAGGATGGCCCAAGTCCTTGGGCCCTGCATCCCTTGGGAGACCAGGAGAAGCACCTGGCTCCTGCCTTCGGATCAGCGCGGTGTGCTGGAGGGTGAACCAACGGCAAAGGAAGACCTTTCTTTCTGTCTCTGTCTCTCTCTCACTGTCCACTCTGCCTTTCAAAAAAATTTTACATTAAAATTTAAATGAATAAACATTTATCCAGCTATTTTTCTTTAAATTATGGTTAGTGTTGAAAATTAACTGAAATGTGATCCCTGTTGAACATGGTGGTGGGAATGGAAGAGGGAAGAGATGTATAATTTGGGACATGCTCAGGCTGACTTGCCCCAAGTGGTGGAGTTGGAAGCATACCAGGGGATTCCAATTCAATCCCATCGAGGTGGCATGTACCAATGCCATCTCACTGTTCCAGGTGATCAGTTTCAGTTCACAGTTGGTCATGGTGAAGGGACTGGGAGTCAAAGGGAGCACATAAACAAGTCTAGTACCTGCTAACGCTAACTGATGGAGTAAATAAAGGGGAGAGTGATCCAACATGGGAAGTGAGATACTCAGCAGACTCATAGAATGGCAGATGTCCTAAATAGCACTCTGGCCTCAGAATCAGCCCTAAAGGCATTCGGAGCTGGCTGAAGAGCTCATGAGAGTATTTCAGGCATGGAAAGCCAAGACACTCTGGCAAAAGATCTCTGCGAGTGAGATCCCAGTGGAAAGAACAGGTCATCAGAGAAGGAGGTACCTTTCTCTGAACGGAGGAGAGAACCTCCACTTTGACTATGACCTTGTCTAAACAAGATAAGAGTCGGAGAACTCAGAGGGCTTCCATAGCCTTGGAAACTCATGACTGGAGCATAGGGAGATTACTGATGCCATAGACAGGAGTGTCAATTGGTAAAGTCAACAACAGGAGTCACTGTGCACTTACTCCTCATGTAGGATCTCTATCCTTAATGTGCTGTGCATTGAGATTTAATGCTATAATGAGTACTCAAACAATATATTTCACTTTGTGTTTCTATGGGGGTGCAAACTGTTGAAATCCTTACTTAATGCATACTAAACTGATCCTCTG